TGTGTTTTAATACATAAAAAGAAAAACTGTTGTACTGACAATACAGATATGTAATTTCTTGAAAAGCTTATTGTGCTCGAATAATATTTATTGAGCGTTATAAAATTGATAACAGGGCATCAGAAAAAGATAGTATATATAAGCATATACCTCGAGGTGGATTTCATATCTTGTATTTTGTATTTCATCTCATAGAGCGGAATTATCGTTAAGGCATGTGAATGAAAGTAAGAGCTTCCTAAGACGTAATGGTAAAGCACTTTCCCAGGCGCATGATTTAATTTAAAGGTGAACTGGTCATATGTGGAAGTAGTTCAAGAAGACAACTATCGGATATCTTCGAGCATCATGTAGGATGGTTTATTTATTACTAAACCAGATGCCAGGATGCGATGCACATATGAGTGATGCAATATGCTTGCTATACCAATTTCTAAAAGATGTATGTAGAAAATTAGAACGTTATGTTCCTGATTACTGCCAGGAGCGTATTCATTTATTGACATGTTTATTTGAAACGAATACGCTTCTAAAGCTAGTATTCATTGATCACGTGAGGCTTAAAAGGAGGGGTTGACAAAAAAATCAAGAAATATCAAGTGAGAGTTCAATTAAGATATCACACGAGTACCTTTTTTTTTAAATAATAACCTGAACTAAAAAAAAATCAAAAAAGAACCAAAAATTTTACGATTTTTAACCTCTCGTAGGGTAAGTACTGTAATCGCAAAAAAATCGAAAATTAAAATTTTTATATATCTTTACGTTTCAGAGATTTCTAAATATTTTGGCATATCTTAGAAAAAATAGATGTAAGTGTGTGTGTATGTGTGCGCATGTACAAATGTTCGTCGACGATTTCGGAAACACAGTTCAGCCGATTTCAATTATTTAAAAGCATTCGATTCCTATTGATAAGGAGACATGCTGATTAGTTTTTGGCAAAGGCAGGTCTAGCCGTTTCGAAGATACAGGGCAAAAAGTGCCGATAACTGTAACTCAATTTTTAAGAGAACAGATCGTTAAATTTTAATAATTCAAAAAAACATTTTACTTGTATTGAAAAGATAAAAAACTGATTAAATTTTTGGGAAAACAGGTCAGGCGGTTTCGGAGTTAAAAAAAAATGCCATTTGGCGGTCAAAAATGATCATTAGACATGAAATTATCAGATATTTTGTGAAGATTTTAATAGTACGTATAAATTTTGTTCACATTTCTATGGGTTCCGTAACATCGTTTGTCCGTTAGACGGCGACGCGGCGCTTACGCGCTTTGATATTTTGTATCTATGCCGCTAATGCAGTACGATTGCTTTGAAAAAAAGTTCAAAATTTCCAAAATAAAGAAAACATTATTTTTAAAAAAGTCTTTTTTTCCAAAAAAAAAACATTTTTTTTCAAAAAATTTAAAATTTCTAAATTTTTTGTTAAAAGAAATTGGTAAAATTTGCCTTAAGGCACGATGCCATACGCTACTAGTTTTAGGTACTAAAAATACAGGTAATGTTTGGTGAACAATATGGGGGTAATTTTAAATCACCGACAAATCCTAAAAAATCGATCATCTGATATATGGACCCCCCAGTTGCGTGAATTTACTGCTTTGCGTAAATGATCGTCTTAAGCGATAAGAATAAAGATTATTTCGATAACATTTTCAACTATTTATTTCAAAGCTAAAGTTTTAGCTTTCACTGAAAACTAATCAATATTTGTTTGCGTTCAACTAAAATCTAGTTTGGACAAGATTTTAAGGTTGTAGGCGTCTTCAATGCAATACAATGTTGAGTAGAAATACCACAGATATTTATATTAGAAATCTGGTGTATATATTTATCAGTATATAGTATAGTAGTTATAGCAGGTACTTCTTGCGTGGTAAGCTATAAAATTTGTATTTTTGTATTTTCAATGACTTCCATTTATAATAGAATATAAATAATTTTCGCATGTGAAGTTATGATGTGTATGTAGTGAGGGGTGTTGCAACATTTGTACATTCTGAATATAATATAAAATGTATGGGAAACGGAAAATAAACCAGATCATCATAGGTGTTGCAATAACAGCATTCGCTGCTGCAGATGAGAACTTATCAATCTTGATCGTTATGAGATGAGTTCTTACATGAGTGCAGATAATTGCAATTTGTACATAATTCAAGAATTTAATTGTGGTTTTCACATCGAAGTAAATACGTTTTTACAGCAATCTGCTTTAAAAATATTCAGCAGTATTAAATATGGTCAAATGCTTAAAAATACAGTTTTGTTGAGATAACTTAAGTACAGTAATATACCGCTTAATGCTGCTTTATTTAAAGCTGTTCCATTAAGCACACTTATATTTATATTATTCCGAGGATTCACTAACATCTTTCAAGGGAAATGGGGCTAATATATACCATCAAAGAGAAGTCTATTAAGAGGATAATCTGAAAATCTCAAATAAATCGGCGCAGTAGAACTAGATGAATCGTCTAGTCTAGATCAGTGATTACCAAAGTGCTCCACTTGGACCCCCAGGAGTCCATGGCAACTTTCAAGGGGTCCACGGCAGAAAAAAACAAAATTTGGTGGACCACGAAATAAAAGTGGGGGTTCACGGCATATTTAGAAATGATTTAAACTTTAAATGTTAGTATTGAGCGCGGAGCCAGCCACCAATCAACCTCGCATATCTCAGAAACTATTGAATGTTCCAACTTTAAATTTTAGTTACAATCTTGGTAAAGTATAGTTACAATCTGTGTCAAGTTTCATCAAAATCGCAATTCGCATTTTTGAGAACATACCATGTGTTTAAATGTTAGAATTGAACGCGGAGCCAGCCACCCATCAACCTCGCATATCTTAAAAACTATTGAATGTTTCAACTTTAAATTTTTGTCAAATATTTAGTAAAGTGTAGTCACAATGTATGTCAAGTTTCTTCAAAATCGAATTATGCATTTTTGAAAACGTACGTATCTGTTTCAATACCAGTATTGAGCGCGGAGACAGCCACCCATCAGCCTCGCATATTTAAAAAACTATTAAATGTTTCAAATTTAAATTTTTGTCAAATATTTAGTAAAGTGTAGTAACAATGTATGCCAAGTTTCATCAAAATCAAATTATGCATTTTTGAAAACGTACAATTTGTTTCAATACCAGTATTGAGAGCGGAGCCAGCCACCCATCAACCTCGCATATCTGAAAAACTATTAAATGACCAACTTTAAATTTTGGTCACAAAAAATAAAAGGAAGAAAAATATGAATTGGGCTCCGAATTGCTTCCCTTTTTACCATATAGTCTAGATCTGTTCCCCAGCGACCTCAAAAGAATGCTTGCTGCGAAGAAACTTTTACCAAATGATGAGATGATTTTACCAAATAAATGCTGAATTTTGTGGCAAAGTATAAGTCGTACTAAAAAATGGTTTCAAAAAGTTTGAAGTTCGCTATAATCGTTATATCGTCTTCGAAGAAACTATATTGCATAAAAATAAGAAATTTGCCAAATAAATTGGTTTTTCTTAGTTATCCTACGGATTTATTGAGTGATGTGAATTACATCGTTTTCACATTATCAAATGGCTTTTAAATTTTTAAAATCGGTCCAGCCGTTTTTGAGAAAACGTCGATTTACGGTAAAAAATCTGTTCACATACACACACATACTTTTTCCAAATTTGGTTTCATTCGATTCAGAATGGCTTGAAACGTTGAGAAAACATAAAATTAGCGAATCGATTTTTTATGAAAACTAGATGTAAGTGGAATTCTGTCTTAAGGCAATTAAGGCACCGTGCCTTAAAGCAAATTGCTGGAACTTCCCGTACCAAAAATTATTATTTTTTTAAAAGCGATTAACATTTTTGAAAAAAATGTACTTCGAAAAAATTAGATTTTTGAGAAACAAAAAAAATTGAAAAAAAAAGTTTTTTTTATTTTGGCATAGTTTGGAAATTCTGAACTTTTTTTCAAAGCAATCGTACTGCTTTAACTGCATAGGGACAAAATGTCAAAGCGCCGCGTCGCTGTCTAACGGATAAATATTGGTACGGAACCCATAGGAATGTAAACAAAATTCATACTTATTGTAAAAATCTCTATAAAATATCTGATAATTTGATGTGCATATGTCTAATGATCATTTTTGACCGCCAAATGGCTTTTTGTTTTACTTTTTTCATTAGATCTCCAAAACTGCTAGACCTGCCTTCATGAAAATTTGAACAGTTCTTTATCTTGTCAAAACAAGTAAAATGTTTTTTGAATTTTAAAATCGGACGCTCCGTTCTCTTAAAAACCGTGTTACCGTTTTTGGCACTTTTTGCCCCGTATATTCGGAACGGCTAGACCTGCCTCCACCAAAAACTAATCAGGACGTCTCCTTATCAGTACGAATCGAATGTTTTTTAAATTATTTGAATCGGTTGATCGGTGTTTTCGAAATCGTCGACGAAAATTTGTATCCGAACACACACACACGCACACACATACATTCATTTTTTCTAAGGTATGCCAAAATATTCAGAAACCTTTGAAACGTCGAGAAATGCAAAATTTTCATTTTTGATTTTTTTGGATTACTATAACTTACCCTACGGGAAGTTAACGAACTTTTCCTTCAGGAAGTTAAAAACAAAAAAAATTTGGGATTTCTATAGCTTTTCTATATCTTTAGCACTTTTTCGTTTACGCTCTACTTTACAAGACCAAAGCTCCCAAGCTCCCAAGCTCCCACACCAACTCTATATTTCATGACGATACACGAAATACCCATCTCTATCTAACGATAAGACTTGAAAGCTCTCGGTTTGGAACCTAAATGACACAACATTAAATAGAGATTTATTTACTCTGAACTCTCTATTATATTTAATTTAGAAATAAAAAAGCGTTTTCAGAATATTGCATTGGTTAAGAATATAAATAAAAAATATTTACTCCCATTATTCGGTTTTCCCAATATGGGCAAACAGAAGACAACATTCATTCATTGGCCAGTATAGGTATGATGTCATAAGGTGTTTTCATTTAGTTCGGGCGGGTTATGAGACATTGTTAATGTTGTGATTTTTTTTAATATTGTGAGCTATTGCTTTATTATAAAAACCATTTGACAGTTTCTATAACTCGCGTATAAGTTTAAATATTTAAACAAAATGCCTGGGTAAGATTGAACGAGTCTGTTATATCTAAAATAAATATTTTTATAAGACATTTATATTATCGAAGTCTCCAGATAAAATCAGATTAAAAATTATATGTAAATTAAATTTTTTGAACTTTAAAGTTCTCACAACTTCCTACTCTATCTGTTTTTATCATTTTTTGCATGTGACCTTTTAGTAAGATGTGGCGCAGAAACAACTATAAAACTTTACTAATTATATGATTATTTTGGTAAACTTTTTAATATAAAACTATTTGTTTTAAATCAGTTTGTTATATAGAGTTTTTTTAAACTCTTCTTACAATATGACGATAAGATGCACGTCCTTGATTTATATGCTAGTAATTTGTCATTGAAAGTTGTTAAAATTATATTTATGTTCAATAAATATAAAATTGATACTTCTGAATTAAGCAAATCTATCCTCATTGCTATTATTGATATCTTTATATGTTATAGAATGAGATTTGAAGAATATTTCGCTTATATTCAAAAAAATGTTAAACTTGTGCTTAAAGAAGGTGAAGTATTTCATTGAAAATTGAAATTTGTGCAGCAAAAAGCTAAATCCAATATACATTATAATATATATATATATATATATATATATATATATTAAATGTTAAATATGAACAATACAACACTTAGATTTTTAACATACACTTTATTTGGTAATTACAGACGTTTCGAAACCATGGTATTCCTCATCTTTAGTGTAATTTCAAAACAGTTACTTATATACTACACATTCTTTAATATTTTATTTAAATTACATTTAATTTTTGTAAATATAAAAAACACCAACTATCACTTGCAGAGCTCGACACAGTACTAAAACATGTGGAACATACAAAAATATTTTAAACAAATCTTAAGTATCGAGATGATGTATTATTATTATTATTATTATAATAATACTCATCCTGTCTCTTCATCTCGATACTTAAGATTTGTTTAAAATATCTTTGTAATTTTAAATTTGTTTAAAAATTTTTTGTAAGTTTAAAATCAAATGTAATTTAAATAAAATATTAAAGAATGTGTAGTATATAAGTAACTGTTTTGAAATTACACTGAAGAAGAGGCATACCATGGTCTCGAAACGTCTGTAATTACCAAATAAAGTGTGTGTTAAAAATTTGAGTGTTGTATTGTTCATATTTAACATTTAATATTTGTTCCACTCATATCACAAAATTCTATGTATATATATATATATATATATATATATATATATATATATATATATTACTGGTTTGGTTTATTCAGATTGGAAGGAGCAGCACTCTTGGGCAACATGTTTTGTTCTCGCTGTGGTGATGGTTTTGAACCAAATGAAAAGATTGTCAATTCCAATGGGGAATTATGGCACGGAAAATGTTTTGTGTAAGTCTGTGATATATTATCACTCTTAAATATTGTTCCTAAATTTTACAATTCCTTGAATTTCAGATGTGCCCAATGCTTCCGAGTATTTGCAGATGGTGTCTTCTATGAATTCGAAGGACGCAAATACTGTGAACATGATTTTCAGGTTCTTTTTGCCCCTTGTTGCAATAAATGTGGTATGTATAAAAATATTATAATAAATTGACATGAGGATGTGCATAACATTTATGAGATTGATTCAAAATCAACATAATGAAATAAAAATGAACTAGACTTTATCTATAAATACTTCTTTAACTTGAAGCTATTTTCCTCCTTCCCTAGGTGAATTTGTGATTGGGCGAGTTATTAAAGCTATGGCAGCAAACTGGCATCCCCATTGCTTCCGATGCCAACATTGTCAAAAGGAACTGGCAGATACTGGATTCATAAGAAACCAAGGACGTGCTTTATGTCATGAATGCAATGCTAAAGATAAAGCAAGATGTTTAGGAAAGCATGTGTGCCATAAATGCCATGGATTGATTGATGATGCTCCGTTGAGATTCAGAGGTGAGGTATACCATGGATATCATTTTAACTGCACTGCTTGTGGTATTGAACTCGATAGTAGTGCAAGAGAAGTCAGGAGCCGACCTGGTTTTGCTGCTAATGATATGGTAAGTAGAAATTAAATAAGCATTATACTATTTCATTATTTTTCTAAATTATGAAAATAAAATTTGTATAGTAGGTTGGTTAAACTTAAACTTATTTCTCATTCAAATTATAGAATGAGCTGTATTGTCTACGTTGTCATGACAAAATGGGAATACCAATTTGCGGTGCCTGTAGACGACCAATTGAAGAAAGGGTGGTAACTGCTTTAGGAAAACATTGGCATGTTGAGGTAACAACATAGAATAATTTTATATAATAATTCAAAAACATTAATTAAAATTCTTTTTCATAGCATTTCGTATGTGCAAAATGTGAAAAGCCATTCTTGGGTCACAGGCATTATGAGAAAAAGGGACTTGCATATTGTGAAACACACTATCACCAACTTTTTGGAAATCTATGTTTCGTCTGTAATCAAGTCATTGCTGGTGATGGTAAGCTGGTTATTCCTTCAGATACATAATTAACTGAAATAGGTAATTAATCAATTTTATTTTTATGAATAGTATTCACTGCATTAAATAAAGCATGGTGCGTTCATCATTTCGCCTGCTCAGTGTGTGATACAAAGATGAATCAAAAAAGTAAATTTTATGAATGTGATGAGAAGCCAGTTTGCAAACGATGCTATGACAAATTTCCTCAAGAGTTCAGAAGACGATTACGCAGAGCACATGAAAATACCCCTAAAAAGTGAGATTACTAACAATATCTTAAGGATAATAACCAAAAATTTAGTGGTTTAATGAATCACTCATTTTTTTGATCAATTCTAGGGTTTGTACATTAGTGTACCAAAAGAACTATAATCAAAGCTTTATCACATTTTAAAATTAAAATAATGTGTTAAAATTTATTATATATTTTATTAGAACCTATATTCATGTGCCTGAATGTTTTTTAATTGATATTTCATAATTGTAATTAATATTTCAAATACTGCCAAGCACATATTTTAAGATAAGTTATTTTACGTTAATAAAATAATAAGCAAATTTAATCTGGGATCTTGTATATTAATCCCTAGTTTGTCAAGATTTCCATTGTCTTAATTTATTTCACAACAAAAGTGGATTGTTATGATTTTATTACTTTTTTCTATGTATTTATTCAATGGTTCGATTCCATATTCATTTTTGTATCTCAAATTGTACAAATGATGCAAAAAAATGTGTGATTGAATGCATTACATAAAAAAGCCTTTGCGGGAAGTTAGAATATTTATGTGCCTTTATCCAACCTAATTCCTGATATAACACATATTGAATATAAAATTCAAAAAATGAGAATTTGAAAAAAAAAATTATAATTAGATTCTCAATAAGTTTTGAGATGTTAATAGGTTATGCAAAATATATTTATTCTATTTAAATTCCTCATAGATATTTTGTATCTTCCATCAATAATTTTAAGTGAATAAAATATTTGAATATTGTTTTAATATTGATAAATATATTCAAGCATATTCAATAACACATATACTAACCTTACCAAAGCATGTTAATAATATACACAGATACACACTACACAGATACTGAGTCAATGCAACTACCTTAACATTTAAGTTTAATACTGTTAACAGCTTCACAGTGCAAATAAAGAACTTTAACAACAATTTCATCTTTTATTTATGGCACGAAATTCAATTTATCAGTCAAATGATAAAATAAACAAACTCAAAACAACTTAAATGAATAAATAATATAATGTAAAATTTGAAGTTTGAATAATTGATCAAGCAAGAATGTACGTACCAGAACGAGCATGGTGCGGCGCCACAACGAACACAAACAAACATAGCGAGCAATGTTCCGCAACTTGTCGGTACATCCATGGTACATCAAAGAAAATTGTTCGTTCATGTTTGAACTCGTATGTGCAGTGGACTCTACTACGAATGTAAACAAACATTTTTTATGTTAATATGTGCAGTTCTGCATTAGTTTATGTTGTGACTATTATGTGTAATAGCTATTATTGATGAATTTTGTAAATTAGATCACTTTCAATATTTTTTTCTTTTCCCTCCACTTTGAATAATAATACTGACGTTTTACGGAAAATTCTCGAACAAAGACTATCACTGCTTTGAGGCGTTTGTTCAAGTTCGTTTGGAATGATTCGCCTTCGTTCGTGTTCGTGTTTGTTCTTCTTTGTATTTTCTTGTTCGTCATGTTCGTTCACTAGGTGAGGATGTGCCTTTATTTACGCTGTTTGAAATGTTTTCATTTTTTGTGATTTCAGACCCATCTATTAGCGTAAGTGATCAAACTGCATAAGTGCCCATTTGACAGTTGGCATGTTTTTGACAGTACATCAATATCTTAATCTTAAATATGTTGTGATTTAATTAATCAAGTTAATTTACTATTTACGCTGCATTTTATGTTTTCAATCAATTTTATAAAAACTACTATATTAATGCATATTTTTTTTGTTACACATGTCTCATACAAAGTTACAAATATCGTAAATTTGACATGAAACTGTATCCCCAGGAAGGAAATCCAATTTGTTTTCTAGATATAAAAATTGAGTCTGAAAGGGGTAAACATTTACATATATAATGTTATTATATTATGTATTTAGCCCATTATCATATTCGTCAAAATATTAAACCTTTTTTTTATAACTTGCGCAATATCATAAATATCAAGGTGATCCAATTTTTTACTTTTATAGATTCAGGTTTTCATCAGCATTCTGTTTTCTGATTTTGCGTAACTAACGTGTTATTAATATCAATCTAATTGTAATATTTATAAAAAAATAAAATCAATCTTTATAGGTGTGAATTATTTAAACAATTCTTTCAAAATTTACAATGCAGCAATTGAACAAGTGTCACAATTTTTTTTACTGACAGTTATATCAAAATAAAATGAAAATATAGTTATTTTAAAATAAAATTAAATATATAATATTAAAAATAATCATTTAAGGAAGAAATATCTACTTCTAATTTATTTGAGTTCTAATTGTTTTGGGAATGTTTTATTCTATATTCTTAAATTGACTGCTTAGATTCAAATTTATCTTTCTTTTCTTCATTAAAAATTATTTATCTTATTAATATATCCTTTACAATCAGCACTCTTGCTCAATTTTTGTTAATCAAAAAAATTAAGAATAATTCCCTGTATCACTAAATTAATGAACAATTTTTCAGTTGGGCGCATAGTTGTTGAGCTTTTTAAAAATGTCGTACCAATCACTGTTGAAAATTTTCGAGCCTTATGCACAGGAGAAAAAGGCATCGGTTCATTAGGAAAACCTTTGCATTATAAAGGCTGTATCATACATAAAGTAGTTAATATATTTATGATTCAAACTGGGGATTTTGTAAATAATGATGGCACAAATGGAGAAAGTATATATGGTCCGACATTCGATGATGAGAATTTTGAATTATCCGTAAGTGATTAAAATACATGCTACATGATTGTGGATTCATAAAAAAAACAAAATATGTTTTGAAATAGTGCTCTTGTTTCTAGCATGTGGAGGGTGTACTGTCAATGGCAAATGCTGGTCCTAACTCCAATAACTCTCAATTCATTATAACGACTGTTGTTAGTTCTCATTTAGATGGCACAAATGTTGTTTTTGGTAGGGTGTTACGAGGCCTAGGTATTGTTAAAGAAATTGAGAAACTTGAGACTGATGCAAATGGAAAACCTATTAAAGTACTTAGTGACACCTCATTTTTTATATTCGTATTTTTAAATTATTGTACAACTTTGTTTTCATATTATATTAGACTTGTATAATTGATGATTGTGGGGAAATAGCTCAAGGCGAAAGATGGGGCTTTGAAGATAATGACATAACTAATGATAGTCTCCCACCATGGCCAGATGACTGGGATTACGATGAAATAACGAAGGTATATCTTGTTTATATTTACACATGTTAATATTTATGATATTTGAAAACAATCTCAATCGTTTTTACTCATCTTAGATTCATAGATTAACAGTAACATAATCTTTTAATTAAGTAGGATCCATAGTAACATATTTATTAAGGAAAAATGCAACTAGTTACAAAAATCATTTTGTCTGTGTGGTACAAAAAAAATGGCGTACAGGGTAAGGATATACTAGGATCAGTGGCGTCGGAACCAAATTTTTGATGGGTGGGCTCGTTTTTTTTTTTTTTTAGATAGGCAGCCAGTGGTCTCGTTTTTTTTAGAGATATTAGCCTATATAATTTTTTGAAATTGATGGGTGGGCTGAGCCCCCCATCAAAATTCATGGGTGGGCTCAAGCCCACACAGCCCACACGGTTCCGACGCCACTGACTAGGATACTAACATTTACTGTCTTCACGAATAAATCGTTCTCTTAATAAAGCGCGTAAGCGCCGCGTCGCTGTTTAACGGACAAACGACGTTACGGAATCTATAGAATGTAAAAAAAATTGACACATTATTAAAACCTCCATTAAAAATCTGATAATTTGATGTGCATATGTCTAATGATCATTTTTAACCGCCGATTTTTTTTTTATTTTTATTCACTAAATCTCCGAAACCACTAGACCTGTCTTCCCAAAAATTTAATCAGTTCTTCATCGTAAAATGTTTTTTGAATTATTAAAATCGGACGCTCCGTTCTCTTAAAAACTGAGTTACCGTTTTTGGCACTTGTTGCCCCGTATCTTCGAAACGGCTAGACCTGCCTTTGCCAAAAACTAATCAGCACGTCTCCTTATCGAATCGAATGTTCTTTGAATAATTGAAGTCGGTTGAATCGTGTTCCCGAAATCGTCGACGAAAATTTGTATCCGCACACATACACACACACATCAATTTTTTTTAAGGTATTCCAAAATGTTCAGAAACCTTTGAAACGTGAACATATGCGAAAATTTTCATTTTCGATTTTTTTGCTATTATTATAACTTACCCTACAGGAAGTTAACAATTAATTGAAATTCCATCAAACACCTGATAATTGCAATAAAATTGATTGAATTCACTAGTACCTGCATAAGGTCGTTAAAATAAATACAAATTAATAGACATAATTACAAATGACAATGAATAAGTCCCAAAATAATCTTTTAAAGGTGCGATATACGTTTGAACTGGTTACTACGACAAGACTGTGACAACGTTGCTCAAAATTTATGAGGATTGTAATTATGGATTTCCTCATGTTTTATAACTAGCCTAAAAATTTTAAATAAGCTACTGTGTCATTTTGTCCATATTTCTTTTATACATATTTACTTACAAGTATGAAAATTCTGATTGATGTTTTAGAAAGAAGTTTTGGAGAATAAGATTGCTAATATTAAATTAGCTGGTAATATGCTGTATTCTCAAAATGATTTCATACATTCTGCTCGCAAGTACAAAAAAGCTCGGCGGTATATAGAATACATGCTCGCTGCGACTGATTTGAAATGCGAATTTGACAAAGAGAAGTTTAATCATGTTTATCTTCTATGTTTACTGAATGGTGCGGCTGTGTATATAAAACTTGGTGACTTCAAAGAAGCAAATAATCTATGTAATGAGGTAATAACATTTTTATAGAAATCATTTTGTTGCAAATATGTTGATTTCTTATCAATCATAATCACCACAGGCCTTAAAGCGAGATCCAAATAATTGTAAAGCATTTTACAGAAGAGGACAAGCACAAATCGGGTTAAAAAATTATGATAGTGGGTTAGAAGACCTTAAAAGAGCTCTAACTTTATTTCCTAATAATAAATCAATTTCGCAAGAATATGAAAAAGCTTTACTTATACAGAGAAAATATCGTGAATATGAAAAAGAAATTTTTATGAAAATGTTCCAATAAATAATATATTATGCTTGTTGAAAAATGTATTTTAAAAATGAAGTTTTTCAATAAATTATGCACATATCAAAGTTTTTTTATTTACACTTATACCAAAGCTGCACATTGTAATAAATGTACAGCCATAATTTAACTTTTTGACAGATATTTTAAAATTGTGGTTCTATTGATCAGTAATGAATTTTAAATCAGTCTAACACAATGACTTACTGGTGAGTGTGATCAGTACAAATTACATTATAACTATTAACAATCCACTAATTACTTATTAATCAATGCCACGCTTGCCGTAAGGCTCTTCGGTTTGCCAAATGTTTGCTCGTGAAAACAGTGACTGTCAATACACTCAATACTATCATTATCATCCAGTAATCGAAATCTTCTTTAAGAAGATCAAATGTTTGTGATGGGGCAACTCTTGTATAAAACATATCTATAAGATAAAAAATATTGTTTAGTTTATTGAGAAAGATTTCTAATGCTGAAGCCCCTACAAATATTCTATCTAAAGAAATTATTAAAATTACAGTAGTACCCCAATGACATCTAAGTGTTTCGAGATACAAATCGCCAAAGAAGCAATTCGTTGCTTTGACATACGAACTTAGAGCGTGTTAGCTTTCTAGAAAAAATTTCGTAAGTTGAAACAACGATTTTCCTACCATAGAAATATTTGGCTGTTTTATGATTACAGTAGAACTCCAATTATCCGAACTCCAATCATCCGAACTCCAATTATCCGAACTCCGACTATCCGAATCGCCGATTATCCGAATCACTTTCAGAAAAAAAATTGTCCAAAAAAGGTCTAAGTGCGCTATTATTCTTCCACCAGCAAAGCCAGTGTAGGCACATTGTTTGTTTTGATTTGACGGAGATGTTTACAAAACAATGATTTTTATTTCTAAACTTGTACATAAGTACATTTTATTTATATTTAAAACATGTGAAAATGTCATGTTTCTTTCATTTAATTCAATAAAAAAATAGTGCAATATCAAAACGTAACTTTTTTTCTCTCCAATGGCAATTTTTTAAAAAAAACTCCGAATATTTGATTATCCGAATCGGTCCCGGTCCCCATTAATTCGGATGATTGGAGTTCTACTGTATAAGTATTATTAAAGATTTATTAGTAAATAAAATGTGTTAATATTACAGCCTGCAATAAGTTGTTTCAAGAAGAAGAGTTGCACGAGAACGATACATAGAAGCAGCAAGAGCCCAAGCATCATTTGTTGTTGTTTTAGTATTAACTACTCTGCTCATTCAAAGATTGCAATTTGTGCAATGGATAAAATATGCCAATACTGTCAGGCAATGAACTTTAGAAATATTTCTCATCATTTCAATTATATATTACTATTAATTTTGTAGTAACGATTTACCGACGCGAATATATCGAGGATTATTTTGATATAAACTATAATAAAATTGATTTTTTATATTCAAAAAATCAATCAAAAACCATAATAGTGCTACAGCGAAAATTGCATCGAGATACAAGCGATTCGACATAGCGGCCGTTCAAGTATTACGTAAGCACAATAAGGGGGCGGGAGGGTTATTGATTTGCTTATTTTGGGTGACATGGGGACAGGGGAGTCTAAATGATTATTACGTCATAGGTAGTATTTTAAAAACAATACATTAAGGGGGGCGATACATGTAATCGCCTTAATTTTTACCATTTTTTGAGGACTTTTTAAACTGGGAAGGAATGATTGAATCTTTTTGAACTTTTTTAGGGTTATTTATTATATATTAGAATACACAAAAAAATTTTTTTTTAAATTTTTTTTTTTTAAATGGCTGCCGTAAAAATAAATCTGCCAAGACCCTCTCGGAAAACGCCATCAATTTGCGGGCGTTCTCACTTTTCGTACGGTGATCTGAATTTAAAAAAATTAGTTTGTACGTGTTCATAAAACTTATATCTTCTAGTTAAACCAAATAAAAATTAAAAAAGTCATAAAATCGTAAATTGGCACACTTTAGAAAAAAAAAGTTCGATTTTTCACCTTTTTTTCAATGTTTTTTTTTGGTAAAAGGGTTAATTTTTGAAAATTTTTTTGGAATGTTTGAGGTTTAACTAGAAGCTATTACTGTAAAGTAGATGTGTGCAAAATTTCATTGGAATCGGTTGAGAACTTTTTGAGTTATCCCGCCCGCAAATTTCAAAAATGTCGTTTTGAGAAAAACGCGTTTAAAGTTTTGACACATAGAAACAGATAAGAGTAAATAGCACTCAAGCGTCGAGTTGAGGCGTGGCACTTAAATGAGTTTTTATTGTATAAATAATGATAATTTTGTTTTGAATATTTACAGGCATATTTTTGAGATGTTATTGTAACGATTTATGAAAAAAAAAAAATTGATTTTTTTTTCTTGTTACATGTATCGCCCCCCTTAATTGCAAAATTTGTTTACGAAAGCATTGGGGTGGGGGATAAGAGCTTTGCTTACTTTTGCTGACAAGGGAGATGAGGGGGTAAATAATTGTAATAAATCTGCTTATGTAATAATAATACTTGAACGACCCCATATGAGCGTGGTTACGGAACGAATTAAACTCGTTGGAGTACCACTGTATTTTCTCATAAATTATAGATATCTACAGAAAATATCTTACCTAAACCATGAACCAAAACTAAACAGGTAGATTCTAACCCGCTGGGTACAGCTACAATGTCTTTAATTTTTTCTATTGATTTGTTGTAATTAACAATGCCTTCACTTGGCATTGGTAATTCAGGCATATATGGCAGAACACCTTCGTCTCTAGCTTCACCTGTAATTGTTACAGGACGTCGAGGATCCAAAAATATCCAAGGCATTTCTAAAATGCTACCGAAGCTGGTACCAACTGTAATATTTACAGAATTTATTATATTTAAATAATACAAAAAGTCAAAACATTTTCTATTTCAATATTATTTACTTAATACGTGTTTAGCAGTGATTCCTCTTATAGTGATTGTTTCTCGCAGTGCTTCAACTTGCCCTGGAAATATGTAAGTCTGTTTCTCGACCATTGGCTGTGCTGATTTATAAGAACTCCATATCGTTGTATTGGGTTGGGATTTTCCCTCATACATTTCCATAGTACCTGATAAAAATATAAATAATTAAAAAAATATAGAAATGTTAATATCAATATTATAGATAATGTTAACCATTATCAATATATCCATATAATAAAATTTTAGGATGCTAACCAATTTCTGTTCGTCTACTTTTCTCATTGAAATACGAATACACTAGCCAATTTTCAGAATGTACTATATGAATAGGCTCCTTAGCACGAATGTGAGATGTGGATGATATGATTTTACCAGAAACTACATCTAATAGTATAACATTCATGACACCTGTAAAAAATTAAAACAAAATTATTAGAACATTATTGGATTTTTAAACTTTGAAGGTTCTAGATAATTAGAGCTTGATTACATTTGAAGGGTACTCTGGTCTAGAGACATGAATTTAATGCAATTTAGTTATTAATTGATGTTTTAAAAAAAGTCAAAGTTTTAATTACCAAAAGTGATTTGTGGGGTGTCTCAAAAAAATTGCCTTTTTTTAAATTATAAATCAGAATATCCCGTTAATGCAATTATAATATGAATTATGACTTTCAAAATTTAAACTACTATGTTATTTTTATAGATTTAGATAAATTTACTTTTATGCATAGGATCTGGTCCTTGTGTCACAACAGCCACCAAATTAGGATTGAGATACTTATAAAGTACGGAACGATCTGCTAAAACTCTTCCTTGAGAGTTAACACGCTCTATCAAATTTTTTGAAGCAATATGTGACACAATATGATCTGGCATTGTTAGTTGTAGAGACCATACAGGCAAAGCAACTAAAAGGTCCTAAAAAGTAAAAGAGCATGAAGTTTTATTATAACAGAATATTGACAACTTTGCAAAGCATACATTTAAGTAAATACCTTCTGAATTTCCATAATAAATCCGTTAGCAACACCAGATTGTTTACTAATTGTATACATGTATGTGCCAACAGCTAATTTTTTATCCTTCTCAGGATGTACATGAGGCAAATTATTATCATCTAATATAAGCAATGGTTTGAGAAAATCTTCATTTTCAGCAAGTAATGTATATTGCCTAATTACATAAGGCAGATTTATGAATCCATTTCCAATATCTTGCCCATTAATAGGATTAAATTGAAAAATAAATCCATTTCTGTTAATCTAAAAACAAAGTAAAAATAATCATAACCTGAGTGGAATCTTAGCAGACAACAAACAAGTTGTCTGCATAGATTACAGTCTATTATGAATACTTGATTATTTCCTATAATCGCACACTGTGCTTCATGAGGAGAATATTTAGTTGTTCTTTGTTCAATTAATTCTATATGAAAATCGTCCCGTTTTTTGGCTAACGCTGGAATATATCGTGACCAATGAATTGTAGCATCAATATTGTCTATACCAAATACCTGAAACAAATAATTCGCAATATATTAAATAAAAAAAATTGGTAGTATTATAATATAATTTGAAACACACCTTGCCCACACTTGTAACAATAATAATAATTTTATGTAAACCAAAGGAATCTCGTACTAAGTTTTCTCTCTGTAATTTTGAAGAATCTGCACCAAATAAAGATATAAGAAAATGTTTAAAATGAACGACCTGAAGTAACAGTCTTTTTCTAAACATTTCCAATGAATCGCCTGTAAAAATTAAATCATTATAAACGTTTATCAGAAAATTTATAAAATATAATAAAAATATTGATTACATACTAGCTTTTTGAACAGCATCCTGCAAGCTATCTTCAGTTAACGGAAGATCCATCATTCTAACAGCTGTCACATCTGACAATGATTCTTCACGATACCAAGAAATTTTTTCTATAAAATAACAATATATATTTATGATCACATCATAATTGAACATGAACTTGTGTTCTTTCATTAATTCTTTAATAAATATTACCAGGTGTTTTAAGAAACAC